ATGTTGTTATTTTTCGGGTCGATCAGAAATCCAATATGGCCGCCATTTTGAAGAAAAAAAACTAAAATTAAAGTCAAGTTCTGCTGGCACGATTGAACTGAAACTTGGTAGGAATGATCGACTTGTGGTCCTGACAAAGTTTTGTTATTTTTCGGGTCGATCAGAAATCCAATATGGCCGACACGGCCGCCATTTTGAAAAACTATGTCAAACTAAAAGTCAAGTCCTACCGGGCCGAATGACTATGGTCCTGACAAAATGTTGTTCTTTTTTGGGTCATTCGGAAATCCAATATGGCCGCCATTTTGAAAAACAATTTTAAACCTAAAAATAGGCCGATTTAACTGAAATTCTGCCCGGGAATGATCAGCTTATGGTACTGACAAACTTAAGTTAACGTTATACTTAACTATTTTTTACTCAAATTGGTTCATATTTCAACAACAAAAATAAATACTGTCGGCCTCTTGTTTATGTCCAAACCACATATGAGGATCGATACCTTTATGATGTATAAACATTAGGTAAACTAATACAGGTTAAACAGGGTTTCTATGTGGATGCTGTATTGGAGAAAATAGATTAATGAATGACATGAAAATAATATTCAAGGTATGCTATTTATTACTGGTTTAAAAAATATCCCTTGATTCTGTTGACATAATGTCTTTACACATTAACAATGTACAGTACGTATTAAACGTTTTAAGAACAACAGGTCCCTTAGTCAAGCTATAACTGAGTAACGATTTGTTTTGTTTACCTGTACAACGATGTTACAAAATTGTGTATTTTATTTCGCTCGACCCCAGACATTTCGCCTATCAATGGAGAATGTATACATTATTGAATATAATACTGGTAGGGTGTAGATCTATCTCCCTCTCCTGTAGGTCATACAGATGACCCAGCTGGTGTCCGCCTCGTCTCTGTTCATGTTCCGAGTTTTCTTGATTATGATAAATTCTTTTGTATGTCTCGTTTTTAGCTCACCTGGCCTGAAGGGCCATGTGAGCTCGTGACTTACTGCGGCGTCCGTCGTCCATGCATCAAATTTTCTTTTGATCGACTTCTTCTGAAGAACTGAATGACTTGGGGTCATGATATTTGGCCAGTAGGTACCTGGGATGGACTGCTATAACGTTTCCTCATTAAAATGACCTTGACCTACTTTCAAGGTCACAGGGGTCAAATATTGTAAAAACTTCAAACAGCAATATCCTAAGAACCATTTGGACTAAAGTCATGATACTAAGGTATGTTTTGTAGACCAGCAGTGCGAATTGTTTTCTTATTACAGTAATGAGGTCAAAGGTCAACTTTAAGTGCTAGTCAGGGTCAAATGTCAACATAGGTTAAACGTTTTGGCAACCTTCTTCTCAAGTTCCATAAGGCCCAGGGTCATGATATTTGACCAGTAGGTACCTGGGATGGAGTGCTATAACGTTCCTCATTTAAAATTACCTTTACCAAGTTTCAAAGGCAAAGGGGTTAAATATGTTAAAAACTTCAAACAATGCCTTTTTACTTAAAAATACATTTTTCTGTGATTTAGAGTACAATGACCAAAGTGCATCTCCTTTCCTTACACCAAACATTTCCTGACAATACTAGTCTATATGAATGTATGTAGATTAAACAGGCTCAGTAGACTATTTATAGTTTGACATGCTACACTGACCAAAAGGCAGATAGTTTATGCTTTGAAAAAGCAAAGAGACCAAGTTGTTCGTTCAAGTTAATGCTTGCAATTAACAGTTAATCCTTTTGATTTTATACGGTTCATTTGTTACATTCAATGCTAGCTGCTACTCATATTATTTCTTAATTACTTTTCTACAAAAAGGGAAGAAAAGTAATTAAGAAATAATATAAGTAGCAGCTAGCATTGAATGCAACAACTAAACCGTATGAAATCAACAAAAGGATTAACTGTTAATTGCAAGCATCAACTTGAACGAACAACTTAGTCTCTCTTTCAAAGCCAAGTTTGAGATGTGTACAGATGCCATAACTCAGTATAAAACAAAAGGAAATCAATATGCAATTTATGTTAAGTCTACCTAAATAGTGAAGTTGTAAATATCCAGTCAAAATTTTAATTAGAAAGGAAATTATTGAGAAAATGACCTAAAAGACCCCCCTGACTTCATCCTTCGTTTTATATAAACAATCTTTAATTGACGATTTAATTTCTGTCATTTTCATTCTGTTACATATGCTTGTCTTATTTATACATGTTTTCAAAAACAGAAATGGTATTATTTTGGTTTTTAGGCTTATTTTGAAAACAGCAAACTATATTTGTGATTTACCATACCCCTTTTGGTACCACCAGAAACCCACTTTAGGTTAAAGTTTTATCTTAGTTTTTCTGCATGTCATACAATAGGACATCTTTGAACAAAATAAGGAGGTGAAAATCCGAATAAAGTGGGGCCCAAAAAAAGGCCTTGTAGACACTCTTCCTTCGATCTGAAGTTACCTATATGTCAGTCTCATGAAACAAAAGTAACAGGTGAGCGATACAAGCCCTCTGGGCCTCTTGTTCCCTTCAATTATTTTTGCATTGTCTTAATCGACGATGTTATTTTTGGTGTTAGCGTGATCCGTTCATGCCGATTTATTGTTCTGGGTGGCGGATGTTCTGCGTGTGTTTCTGGTTAAGTTGGTCTTTAAGACGTGTCCCAAATTTCCTTACAGTTTCTCCTATAGATGACTGTTGACAATTTTTGACATAACATATTTCCAAACTGAAGAATCTTGTTGAAGTATAAGATGATGTTTAGAGTTTCTTAGAGACAGCATTAGACAGTAGGTTGGAACATGACATACAATTGTTTGTGCTTCAATTACACAAAGAAACCATGTATAAACGTTTTTAGCTCACCTGGTCCAAACAAGCCGTAGCCCGAGTTTCCTCTGGCCCTGACACCAGACTTTTGGACAGATGGATGTCTTCACCAGATCTCTGGTTTGGTCTGGTGTCGGGGCCAGACGAAACTCGGTGTCCAGGAGTCTATGCCGTGACGTGGTGTCCGTCTGTCCACATGTCTTATACTGTAGGTATCATCACTAGACTTTCTTATTCGATTGTCGTGGAACTTCATATACATTTTCACAAACATAACCTCTTGTATGGGTTCTATGCTTCAACCTTCTGGTGTCGGAAACCAGGTCACTTATTATTGATAGAATTTTAAGTTTCTTCTCTCTATAGAATTATTAACTATCAGACTGTCATGAAACTTCATTTTCACTGTTTCACTATGCTTTTAGTTTTTTGGTATCATCGCCACACAGAGATAAATGCTTATTCATTTTTCTTTTTTTTTGTACGTGTTTAAAACTTAATCATTTTAAGATTTAATTTTCAATCAAGGATCCAAACAAGGTCACTGTTACTGACCTACTGTCATAAAACTTTGTGTTCACAAACATCATTTTTTGTACGATTTGAATTATAGTTTGGTTTTATGAAGTTTATCATACTTTAAAAAGTTAAGATCATTTAGGGATGAGCACACGTGTTATCTAACTGTGAACTTCAAAGGACACGTATCGGCCTAGCGATTGGTCAGGTTTCTTCACCCGGATAGCTAACCGCATGCCTTCAATTTCGCTATGACATATTTCAGGGGTGTAGAGAGCGAACATGAACGTAACCCCTGGAGTATCGGGGACGCACTGAACAAGGTCTTCACATTCTGTTTTAACAGATTGCCAATAATCAGAAATAAAGATGTGATTTTCCAAGGAACAGACTAACTGTAGACCGAGTCTTAAGTTCCGTAACCATAAAATACAATTTATTCAGTTTGGTTTTAAGAGGTTTATCCTACTATAAAGCTAAGATCATCTAAGGATGTGTGTAATGTATGGACGGGTGTAATATTTCCCGCCTATGTTATGAGTACACGTGCTACCTAACTGAAATACTATGCTGAAAGCATCCAGTGTTCCACCCGGTCACCGGGTTAACCAGTTGCTGCGATTACCTGAAACAGCAGGGGACAACTACCATGTTAAGGACTTCGGTATGTCCCGGCCCGGGAACATAACCCATTGCCTTCCCCACTTAGGAGAACGTTCACCACCACGATCAAAAGTGAGGTCTTGCCAAGTGAGGCGCGTGGGAACATGATAACAAGTAGAGTGAAATATACCTAAAGGCAAAGGAAAGCAATTTCATATTTGCGGTAACGTTTATATTACTTCTTTCAAAAGTATCGTTGAAATTGTCCAGCAATCCAGACATATCTAATCTATTGGAAAACTCAATGAATTTAACGCTTGCAATCATCACCTTAGAAAGTTATCCAAGATTGAAGACATGGTATCGACATTGATTTGGCAAAACATTCCATTGTACGTCACGCCATTTGACACCAAGTATTGACTTGTTGAAAAATGATGTTGTACTGGCGGAAAAAAACACTTCCCGGCAACAGGTTGCATAACAGTTCATTTCAATATAGCTGATACAATTGCCTCGGTGACGACCAAGCGTGTTGTGTGGCCAAAACATCCCACAACACAACAAAACCACCACCAAAGCTGTCAAATGCATTTATCAGCATAGCGTTCACCACGACGTCGATAACTACTTTGATACTCATCCGAGTAGTAAAGCGAGAACCTTACAAGTATCGCAAGAGAAGAGTTAGATGCGCCATCTTTGCATTGGAAACACGTTTGGAGTGCGTCATTGAATCCACTGGAGTTAGACCTTACGTCTTTGCATTCCCACCACAACGGGACACAGATTAATGCCGTACGAACAGTACATTAAACCGTCTTATTCAAAACCCGGTTTCACGAAAATAGTACATATACCTGGTATACATTTATTGATATTGTGGTCAAATATAACAATTATCGCAAATAATTGAAACGAACGTCAATAGGATGATTAGAATTATTTTATTTTTTTCCAGAATGACTGGAAATGACAAAAATAAGTGTTTCCTTTACATAGAAAAAATAACACCGGAACTATGTATGAATATTATTGTATTTATCTATTAATATTCGCGGGTCAAAAGAAAATATCCGCGTGACCAAAGGCCTTATCGTTAGTGTCATGTATTAGAAAATAAGGAATATTATTTCCTCAATTGTACAACCAAGTCCATATTGAAAAGGTTAACTTAAAGCAATGCATCCGAATGGAACTATTCTGGTCATCAACTCTTTGCTAAAGATTCTGTCTACTCAACTCTGTATCTATGAATGTATTTATTCTGCTTAACAATTCAGAGGTGTTGCCCCTAATACATTTTTTTTTTACGAAAGTCACCACAATTTCAAAATGCATTTAATTAATGTGTAATAATTGTAGTACATGTTCTCAAAATCTCAGTGCCTCTCTTGATTCTTCAAATTATATATTCAAATACACCATTATGACAGACGATACGTATTGTAAAACCTTTAACTTGATTTACATATTGTTAATAGTCTATTTAAATGAATGGTTAACATTTATTTTTTATCATGTACTAAGGTGAAGATTTTAGCACATAATATATAACCGATATATACATGTACTTCGGTTAGAATTATACCTGCATTACATATTCTTTATAGCTGTCTTTAATTTATGAAACCATGTCACTGGTTTCATAATTGGGATGTACAAATCCTTGGTGAGCTTGTGATATATGACCGGTACAGTTGTGACGTCCTTGAAGGTATCATATGATACTTCCATGGTTGAAATGTTTCTGGATTGCAGTTCCACCACCTCAGTCAGGACTGACAGGAAGTCAGTGTTCTGTAGACATCCTCGGCCAGTTTTTATTAAGTAACCATTGACAACATGACAGAGGCTGCTGACGAGATGTCCACCAGTAGACGAGTCACGGAAAGCAAATTTCCCTTAAAAAAACCAATTAAATATCTTCATAGATATTATAAGCTTGAAAACAAACTAAGATTGTTTTACCACGTTTCAAACGAACGGACAACAATACATCTTTTCAGATGTTATTGATGCACCAATGTCACAGATTTATATATGTATTCTAATAAATTATATTCATGTATACATTTATTATTTATTTCCAAAAGGTGTCGAAAAATACATTTGAAAGAAGGTATTCCATTATTATGTTCGAGTCAGATGCGAATATATTTGTTACCATTCATGGTCTTATTCGCGTTAATGCATTAAAATTTGAACTACAGTATTTTATGCTGGATTCACTCAATTTATTCAAACATAAATTAAAATCCAGTTATAATTACTGTTAACGTCCTCGAACTCCGTGTTCTTACCTTGATTCGATGCAAACATGACCAGCATATCATCATAACAGGGGATGGCCACGACAGTAACTGGTTCCGTAACAGTGGTGTCGATTCTATGTCGACTAGGACGTGTGAACTTTGAATCTGTTTCTGTAATATGTCTACCCGTCTTATCGCCTATGTCATCGTCGATCTCGTCGTTTTCTTGCAATCTGTACTTCCTGGCCTCCTCCTTTTGACGCCGTTCTTTGATCTTCTGTCGTCGAGCATTGACGTAGTCGGTGGTATCGAATTCATCCTTATCAGACAGACCGTCATCTGTGTCCGTGTCACTATCTGTCACACTTGCATCTAAAATGAGCAAGGTGTAAAGGTAAACAAGATATGTATCACCTTTACAAAAACACATGTTATCATCATTCCATATATCATGGTGTCATTTATCAAAAAGTACTTTTTTTTAGGAAAGTGTACTACAAGACTGAATTCACTGTAGCGGTACATCGACATCCTCTCCAGTAGCAAAGTCATGAAAAGTCCTTCACTCTGGAAGTGATGTGCTGTCCAGCAGGAGTGTAATGAATAATCTTAAACCATCTTATTATTTACTGTAGATCTGAAATAACAACCTTACACCCATGTTGGGTGCTCTAGAAGTGCCATTCTGCTAAATAAGTATGCCGTAAACAGTTTTCTACTTCCCTTTCCGTACTGCAGTACCTCTGTCAAGCATCAGTATTAGTGATATGAACACAGCGGTTCTGGTCTGTAGAGTAGATGGATTAAGCTAGAACAATCTTACACTCACCTTCCTGTTCTGTAGCATTGCTATTCTTGTCAGCAGGGACGTCAGAACCATCCTTACAATCTACTTCATGTCCTTTGGTAACGACATCCTTTTCATCAGTACTACTACCGTCTGTTGTCACACCGCTGTGCACCGTCGTCCTCTGCTGATGTTTGTTCGACTCTACAGAAACACCGAAATCAAACTTCTTCATCTGGTCAACTTGGCGATCCTCTCTGCATGCCTTTTAAAGATAACACTATGATTGAAAATCACGAACAATTTCTTAAATATCAAAATATTTATAGTATATAACGATATCTATTGATATTTTGAACTCATGGTGCTGTAAGTATTAATGGCATTACCTGTATAAAGAAGAGCTTTGGTTTACCCCTTAAGGCGATAGTGTCACGGAGTATTGCTATGATGTCGTTGGTGTTGATCTCATTTCCTTGGCCATCCACGATGTAATGCTGCGTGACTTTGTCAATCCCATCAGTTGTATGTACTGCTTCAGACGTCTTCTCTGCTCCATGTGAGCATATCACACACACAAAACACGACCTTTCCTTTAACTGTGGTTCACTGCAGGCTGAAACACATGACATCTCATAGGTAAGATATCAATGGAAAACATGTGGCTTGTAATGATGTTATTTATCTGCATTTCGTTAATTGATTGATGGTGGAGTGCGCAAAGAATGGCATATGACATTAAATGTCTCGACTAGTGAAGTCTAACAGCTACACTAGTATATACACATAGTAAATTAAAAGGACGGATAAAACTTGTGTCCACGTTTAGCCTATTTTTAAAACTATTTAAACTTTAGGCGTTAACCACTTCAGCTGATAAATTGTTCTAGTTGGTAACTACACGATTGCTTAAAATGTTCTTGGTGGTGTTTAAGCAGCATTGTTTCTTAAAGAGCTTTCTCTGGTGACATCTAGTTGCCGGATAGGTGGATTCAATAAATATTTTGGACTTGTCTGCATCGTCCACACCATTCATAATTGTGTACACTTGAATCATATCAGCCCTCTAAATTCAAGTGTGGGTAATCCTAGTCGTTTTATTCGATCTGGGTAAGGTAAGTCTTGCAATGTAATTAACCTTTTAGTTGCCAGTCGTTGTATATTTTCCAGTGATTGTATGTCTTTCTATAGGAGGGGTGATCATATTGTGGAGCAGTACTCAATATGAGGTCTGACAAGTGATTTGTATCATAATAGGAATGTAGGTTGATTTAGAAATGTAAATGTCCTTAACTTAATTCCTAACATCATGTTTCCTTTGAAAACGTCTGCAGACACATATTTGCTGAACTTTAGCTGTTTGCCGAATGTCACTCCGAGGTCCTTGTCTGTTTTTACAATCATTGTTGTGACTCCTTCGTTTGTGAAGTTGTATGGCTAATCGATGTAATACCAATTTTACCAAAGTTTCTCTAAATTTAATTTCATGAGCCACCTCTCAGTCCATTCACACACTTTGTTGATGTTAATTTGTAGTTCTAACCTACCCTATGGTGAAGATATACTTGAGTATATTTTTTGTATCATTTGAAAATAGCTTCATTATACAGTCAACTGATTCTGACATATCATTAATATAAATAAGAAACAAAATAAATAAACTTAGAACCCTTGTTCTGATCGCCTCTTTAAATATAGATTGATATATCCTTGGGTACATTTTTTCCCAATGAAGTACTGATACTTCTATGTGCATAAAATGCGATATGAGAACGGTCTCCGCAACTTGGGCGCAATGATTTTTTTTTATTGTATAAATTGTGATGAAAAGGGAAGCTAGTGTTAATAAAGTTTGAAGTGTCTAAAACGCTCCAATTTCTTTTAAACGATGCCGACTTCCCCGAGGTATCACTCTCAATTGAAAATTCCGCTTTATATTTTATATCACACACTAATATTTAACATCAACCTGATAAAGGTAATGAGATTTACCTTTTCGCAGTTTTTCTTTCATCTGTTCATTGCTTAAATCCTTAAACAATTGAGGCTTGAATGTCAGATCTCGGAACAATCTTTTGAGATTCTTTTTTTCTTCATGTGCACCACTTCTATCCGAAAAGTCATCTGTTCCTTTATATCTTTCATTCACAAAAATATACGCCATACCACGGCCGTAATTCTTCAGGTCATATGTCATCTCGTCTCGTGTCTCGTTCTGTAACTCAAAGGTAACAAAATGACAGTGTTTAGTCTACGTGTTGGTTTCTGAAGTTATAAAAACAACGTAAACCTTATTAGAATTTATCATCCGAGTGTCTTGTGATACCATGCTTCTATGCTTTTACTTCCTTTCAATTTTTTATTAGTGCTCTTATTTACGCATTGTATGACTTACTCAATGCTTGTCAAATAATCTTTTAATTTATGCCATATTAACATATATTCGGTCAATTTTTAACTCATGCCGTATTGGCATTTATGTATATACTGAACCATGGTTTCTTAGTTTGTGAGCATGTGGCATGAATCTTTTGTGCAGCATCAATTTTAATTTTAATATAGATTTTTATATATTCTTTGTTCTGTACGTGCCTAGTTGTTTTTAATTACTGCATGCTGTGATTTAATAATTTTTTCTTGTCTGTGTATTGTATAAACCTTGCTATATGCCTGTTTGTTTTCTGCATGTTTTCTTATATATCCTGTTTATATACCTTTGTTTGTCGTAATAATAGCTCTACAGAGCTAATGTTTCCTTTACAACATATAGGACTCTAAATAAAAATTCTTGTATCTTGTATCTTGTATCTTGTGTTATTTCTCTGAAAACTACTTTCGCTTTACCCGGAAACAAGCACATGATTGTAAATGACGAATAGGTCACCTAAGCCGGACTTTTTAAAACAAACTATTTGTTTTACCATCAGTATAAGAAAGGTTTAAGCTTATTTATTATTCTGTTGTCAGACTAAATGCGATTTGTATAGTCTCTTTAGATCTTAGTGTACTGACGTGACAACAGTGGTCAGTTGTACTCACATAACGCTTTTATACTATCAAAGTACACGTTTCTAGTCCCTTGTCAACTTGAAGTTCCTACATGGCTGATTTTCTATAATATGAAGCTCGTTATATATGTAAATAGTAGATAATAACGCTTTCAAAATTTGGATATCTAAATCATATGGACCCTCAGGTTCTATCATTGGTATTCTAGCTTTTCTATTTTGTATGCATCAGTGTTTTAGAAATTTTGATAAAAATACAACAGCGTGTAAAAGCTTGATTTGGTTTTTCTATATCAATGAATAATGATCCCCAACCTCAAATGATGTACTTCAATATTCTTAGTTGGACTGCAAAAAGTGTTGTTTCGCGTGAAATAAAAAATGAAAATCTTTAAATGACAAAGAGATTTCTTTAAATGAATTAATTACATCTGTATATATCATACAATTCGATAACAGTAATATTTGAAATTTAACAAATGAAAAAGAGATATTTAAAAAGTATTTATTTTAAGGTGCAATAACTGTGTTGGTTTGTTCATCTTTCAATATACAAGATGGTAGTCTCTAGATCGACTGGTGGCCCTTTTAGTCCCCGAGGTTTTTTGTAACCTTGATGATCAAAGTAATTTCTTTCGAGTAGTGACATGATTCACAATATAACACTTTGCAGATTATTTGATTTGAGGGGTTTTACGCAACTGTTCTCTCTCTACAGTAGTTTTGACAATTTGAATTAAACAGCTGTATGATGCAGTAGTATAGACTCTGCTGTCTTTTTTGTCCGAGGTTTGCTGTAACTTTGATGGCCACAGATATCTCTTTTGAGTAATGGCGTGGCATCTTTAAATATATCGTTTGTTGATTTAAAGATATCTCTATTACATTAAATCTTTTGGATTGCAAGATTGATGAAATACTTTACAAAAGAGATATATCTAAATAAAACAGAGATATGCATTTGTATATAAATAATTCAATCTTTTAATAAATAAGTGATATATGTTTATAACGATACAAACAAACTTATTTTCTTTATTTTCGTAGGACAAACCTGGTTTGAATTATTATTTGGGATGGTATATCGAGGAAAATTACAACACTGACCTATCCCTAGGGTGATAGGGTGAATCACAAAGGAGATAAATAAAGCCTTCGTTTCAACAATCGTCTTTGTCCTAAGACATCGCATAAATAAGTGCTCTTACTTAATGGAAAGATTCTAAGGTGCTTAATCAAAAATATTTATTTTATTATCCTCGCTTCATCCTGTAAAGTTTTCTATAGGTTAAACATGAAAAGTTAAGGAGAATTACGCTGTTGGCATACTTTGTTTAATTTTGTTGTGAATTAATGAGATTTATGGCATGCAAATTAAGACCCTGACCCAGGCCCAGACCTAGGGCCATTTGGGTAGGGCCAAAGGGCTCAAATAGGCTGAAATAAAACAAAAAATGTTTCCCTTCAAATACTCACCATGGATGAGGTGGACTTGATGTGCTTTAGCAATGTGAACTCCCAATACTCCCTGGTTATCCATTGTCCCCTTGAAAGGGGGTAAATTTACGATGTTTTTTTATAGGGTAAATCACTCAAGTTTCAATAATCTTCTTCATACCAAGACATCCTAGAATGAATTACTCTTCGTCGAGGAAATGATCTCTGGGCGCTTTATTAAAATTTTATTAGCACGTATCATCTTTCATCCTAGCCCCTAGACTCTAGAATATTGAATTCTTTAGAAAAAAAATAACTCTGATAATTTTGATCGCCTGGATGAGCTAGTAGTAAAATGCGGTTGAGAGTTCTCTTAAAAACTACATCTTTCATTTTACACTTTTTAGTTTACTAGAGAATGTACATAAAAGTTTAGAGAAATAAACATATTTTTAGTTCGAAATAATTAATATCATGTGACGATTTCGACTTTTTGATCATGAACTTATTATTGATAGTAACATCTCCCCAGACCTACGGTATTTCCACGTCGCAAATGATTCGGGTTTCAAGATTTTGCTCCGAATATCATGGTTTTCTTTGACGAATGTCCAATGCTGAGGGACACAATGTCTCGAGAGTTGTAGGTCAATGAAACTTAGGAAAAAGAGTGGTGGTCGCCATCAGATCACGCTGGGAAAAGAATGCTATTTCCTTGTGTGATATATTGGTCAAAAATTTTAATAATGCGTGGGATAAGTGGGATATTAATTTCAACCCTTCAAAAACTGTATCAATGATATTTACTAGGAAAAGAGACACGCTACATCCAGATATATTTTTTAACAATAGCCCAGTTCAATCCCTTGCTACTCACAAACATCTAGGTGTTATTTTATCTGAAGATGGTAAATGGATTCACCATGTAAATTATATATGTGAAAAAGCGTTTAAAAGGGTAAATATATTAAAATCACTTAAAAAACGAGTCTCAATGAAAACTCTTTTAAAGATATATAAAACATATGTTTTGCCTTTATTGGATTATGCAGACGTCTTGTGGGACAATTGCACGGAACAATCTAAACCACTGCTTGAGTCTGTTCATTTAGAAGCTGCTAGAGTCATAACAGGATTGCGCAGAGGTACCTCCCATCATAAATTATATAAAGAACTTGTCTGGGAATCTCTCTCAGATAGACGACACAAACATAAATTAATATTAATGTTTAAGATACTTCATGGCATGCCCCCGCAACATCTGAAAGATATAGTGCAACCATTTATATATCACAATGAAAATGAAAGATATCCATTAAGGACCACTAGATATTTCAACACTCCAATATGTAGAACAGTAAGCTATTATAGTAGCTATTTTCCAAGTACATTTAGGGAATTCAACTCATTCGCTCATAATTTTGATTCATCCAATGTAAACTCTCTATCACAATTTAAAGCTCTACTCTTCAAAAATAATGAAACTGTCTCGGCTACAACATAAACGTTTACAAATGAAGGCAGTCGAAATATAAATATAATTATGTGTCAACTTAGAAATGAAGCCAGCAATTTGAACTCTGACCTTTTTCTTGACCATTTAAAAGATTCTCCAATATGCACATGCAACCTGCGGAACATTATTTTTTTATCTGTCCTCTATTCAACCATTCTCGATCGACACTTAGAAATCGGCTGATTAACCAAAATATAACCCATGACCATTTTAATATAAGCACATTACTTCATGGATGTCATGAATGTGATGAAGAAACCAATGCATTTGTACTACAATGTATATCAGAGTACATTATCAATACTAAAAGATTTGTTTAATCATAACTATACCTTGTAAGGTGGGGACATGGAGACACACTATATGAATTATTTATATGTTTGTTTGATGATTTCAATGACTGTACATATACCATACCGAAGTTGTAAGGAGAAGGTTTATATAGGCTTTACCTGATGCCCTACTCCTTTGCATATTTTTTGCAATAAAATTTGTTGAAATGAAAAATCAGATCACGCTGGGAAAAGAATGCTATTTCCTTGTGTGATATATTGGTCAAAATTTTTAATAATGCGTATTGGTTTGCTTTTTTGTTTCGTTGTCACTACCCGGATCTCACTTTGAAGTCCAATGTTTGGTATACCGACGAGTCCTGGCTGTATGGTGCAGTGCTGATCTTCTTTGGCATACTGTATATATTAGCATCAATGCTAACTGTAAGTGGACCTATCACATTGATAATATATGTAAAAAAGTAGTTAAACAATTAAGTGTCCTCCGTAAATTGAAATATATTCTGAATCAACGTACACTAAATACGATATATAGATCATTTATACTCCCTATTCTAGAATATTGTTGTGAACTGTGGGATGGTTGTTCTATTACTGATACAGACAAATTAGAAAAGCTACAACTTGAAGCTGGACGTATTGTCACTGGTTTACCCTCTTTTACTAGTAGAAAATCTATATATAATGAAACTGGATGGGATTCTCTAGCCCATCTGAGATCCCGTTGAAAACTTCAATTATTTTATAAAATCCACAATAATATAGCTCCTAACTATCTCAACACTCTACCCCATCCCTTGTCGATAACTCTCACTATAATCTTCGAAGCGCTGAAAACTACAACCTACCTAACAACAGACTTAATTTAATCTAACGTATCCTTCTTTCCTTCTACTGTTAGACTGTGGATCCAGTTACCTACTAGTATATAATGTAGCGTCACGTTCTCATTATTCAGAAACGCCATTCGAGACGTAAATTTGCCTCTTGTACCAAATTGCTTTTTCTATGGTGATAGAAAAAACAACATTTTACATACAAAATTAGGAAACCGTTCTAGTACTTTGAAAAGTGATCTGTTTCGTGTTAACTTTATCGATTACCAACGTTGTATATGTGGCTTCCCTATTGATGACACACACCATTTCCTTTTTACCTGTGATAAATATATCGAACAAAGAACTCAACCTTCATCGTGATCTGAATGAATACATGCCTCTGATACATCTCTTTCGGAACAGGAATACATAGCGATATCCATACATACTCAACAGTACATTCGTGACTCTAACAGATTCTAGTAACACCCCTGACCCCCGACCCATGTCCTCTCTCTCCCTCGCTATCAATTGAACCATAATATCCACTCTCTATGTATAATTGTATCGGAAATGATGAAAATGATTGATAGTAACAAACAATTGTATGAACCACGTACCACGTGCTTGGTCTTTCTCTGTGCAGACGGACTAGTGGAAACGGAAATACCACAAAGGACATGACGAACAGGAGGACGGTTTTATAGGGATGTGATGAACATTTGAGGGATGTGGGATGTGATAAACATTTGAGGGATGTGGGATGTGATGAACATTTGAGGGATGGGATGAACATTTGAACAGCAGAAAGTTGTGAACAGCACTTAAATAGCACTAGTTCCGTTTTCATGGAGAAAGAACAACCACATGGTCCGATATGCATTTTTAAAGGCAGATATCATCTGTCATACATTAATAATGATGATGATGTTTGTACTATAATTCCGGCCTCTTAGGTCCCCCTCTCCTCCCCCCCCCCCCCCCCCCCCCCCTCCCCTCTCTCTCTCTCTCTCTCTCTCTCTCTCTCTCTCTCTCTCTCTCTCTCTTATACTTTCGATTTATAAATTAGACTGACAAATAATTTTCTATAGTAATCACAATTTAACAATAGATGTACAGGGAAAGACTTTGAAGGCTCTATCTGTTTACGTACGGATACCAGCTACTAGTTGGAAATTTTGCCCAATTACAATATAGCTAACAGTTTAGTGGCATTTCTACCGTTACCATTTTTGCATATCGCTTTTTATAAATGTTTAATTTTAAATGTCTATAATGATTTGGTGATATTACTTTTTAAGAGATTAGCAAGCATTAAATTGGTGATATCGTCAATATAGTATAGTGATTATATCACTTGAATGGAATGAAAACTAAAGTCGAGCACCTTAGTCAGCGCTATTATAACCAACCATCTGTTATGTCATCGTCTCATGCTGGTCGACTCGTGGCTTCCATTGTTGATTCATGACCGTGGGATGCGCTTACATTCGAACAACAGCAAATAACTCTTCAATTTTATGTATATAATCATTGATACGCTCGAAAACAAGATATGCTTTAGGCTTTATGATATTAAATTGTGAAGTACATACAATTTAATCTGTTTGTTCACTAGCCGTCGTGCGTGCCCGTTGTTCACTGACGTTGCCCATCGTTCAGTTTACAGAGGTCTCAATTCAGTGAGTACATGCCAGTCTGCTGCTGGTATAGACTAGGTGAACATTACACATAACGAAGTTGGTTAGGAATGGCTGTTGAATGGCTGCACGAATAGCTGGAATCTTATCATACAGGCCTTCACGAAAATTATTTTCCAAAATTCGTTACAGTCAGATAAGTTTGGCGAAACTTTATTCTGCTTAATGTCGGGCAATTTAAGTGAGAACCCGTTCGGTGAGACTAGTTTCGGGTACTTAGTCTTTTACATGTCTGTGTTCTTTTTCGTAACTTTGATAACTGTAGGAGGAAACTGTATTATCATAGTTACCGTGCTTCGCCATCGAGACCTTCAGCAGCCATGTAACTACATGATAGCCAGTCTTGCCGCATCAGATCTGATTTTTGGATTGATCTACCCTATCTACAACATTGGACATATCTGTGACAATTCAGTCTCACGTTTCCTTGGTGGGTATCTCTCTCCATGCACAACAATACGATAGTGACGTAATCATGATTAAATATCATCATCTGTTGGCACGAAGTACTCATGACATTATGGCCTTGGTTCTATAATGATTGACAAAGCGCTTTACGTGCCGGTCCAGTTTTTTTTTCAATTTTTACTGTTTATATGTCTGAAATAGAAAGCTGCGCCTATGTGCAGTGGTCTGAATTGTACTTTATCATAGAAATCATTTGTGCAGTAACGCACTGGTTTTTCCTTGCTTCTAAAATAGGATGTTGATCATTTTTTTTTGTACCTTATCATTTTATTAATATCTCATTTTTCATTTCTGTCTATATTCTGTCCTTTTTTTGATTTAGTATGGCTTGGAATCAGGTTCTGTGCCATCTAATTACGACTGATAGCAAAAATCTTGCCAAGTTCTTTAATTTCACTCTCGGGTAAATGTTTATCGACGATCTGATATGGTTTGTTGGAATCCGTCAATCCGTGGATAACATCTTGTCCGAACATCTCTTAAAATAACTTAAAGGCCGATCTCATGTGACAGATACCTGATATTAATATATAGGGAATATACTTTACATGAAATGGAAGACTGTTTATTTTAGGTTCTCAAGATGGTCATAATGCTATCTGATTGGCTGAGACAATAACAGTGATGTTAGTTCTATGAGTCCAACTTCGTTGACACTTTGTTGGAGTGATACATTGATGTTAGTATTATATGGAAATAATAACTTTCGGGTGTGGGGAGGGAGCGAAATAGTATGCCTCTGACTTACAGATCTTGTGAATTACCATATGACCGACAATAACGGCTAAGTACTAACTGCATGATAAGCGTCGATTTTCCTCCCTAAAACTTTCCGTTTCTTGATAGTAATAACCAAGTTTTCCCACTGCTGACGGACCAACTTACCGGGCTTTCCAGCGATGCAGGTTGATGAAGACTGAGTTTTTATGTTGCCGGCATGATTTCATTTACAGAATGTTATTTCTTCGTGTGATTGAATGTCGATAGTTTTTTTTATTATTATGCTCATTAGTGTGGCTTGTTGTGATTGAATGTCGATATTTTTTTTAATTATTATTATGCTCATTAGTGTGGCTTGTTGTATCGCGACACTATCCCGGTTATCGCTTTAAAGATAAGACACAAATTGGATTCGACTTAGATTTGCACGGCGGGTGTCGTCGATGAAGCAAAATATGTTTACCATTCCGGAACACTCCTTGAACTTTTTCAATAGTCTCTCCAACCTTTGTTTGTATGTTGTCCTAATTTTATCGACTTTTAGTCATAATAACGGTTTAATTGACACTTATGTAATTCTTTTATTGTGTCGATGAAGCTAGGACCAGGGAATCTGGTGTTAAGTATGGTTGATGAATGTTCTCTATATTATATATTGGACAGAATTCCGAGCTGGCGTGTGTGAGGGGCTGATCACCGCCATACAATGGATAGAGATGAACTCGGCCTACCATCTTGTAGCCATTACTGTCAATCGTTATATTGCCATCGTCAGACCTCTCAAGTACCACGTGTACCTGAACAGTCGTAGAGTCATTGTCACTCTCTGTGCTATATGGTTGACCACTCTGGCTACGTCAACGGCGATCTACTCCCCAGGAGACTATGGTATATAGCAAACTCGATCCGTAACTCGTTTCACAAAACCCCTTGTAGAACGTTCTTAATTCTCAAAATTATTCACATTGTCATTAAATAAAAGTTACATGTTTTAAGAAAATAATTAACGAAAATGTAACTTTGGAAAATTTGTGAAAAGTTCTAGAATGTATCAAAAATTCTAGAATGTGTAAATTAAAAAAAAAAAGTTTTTGATTTAATGGTCTATTAAACACATGTTTGACTTTAACATACTTATTGAGGTCTAATTGACTACACGACATTATCTGATTAAATCCAGATCTTAAACTTGAATACAGTATAAATTAATTGATCTGCATGTCTCATTCTCTTCATCCTCACAATAGTAGGACAGGACAAGGCAAAGGCGTGTAGGTACGAGTTAGTGTTCACGGAGACACAGAGCATAGTGATGGCCGTCTTGTCTGGTGTCATCCCACTCAGCGTCATGGTCGTCCTCTACACCATTATTGCGCGCATCGCAAGAAAGCACGTGAGTTAAGTATCTGATTACGTTTGTTTTCACCAAAACAATAGCAAATCAACAGGTACATCTTGTAAATACGAGCCAATCCTCCAACTACACTGTGAGAAAGTCTACTCCGTTCTACTGACCGTCTTATGGTTTAACAGGAATCGTACATAGTTTAAGCTTTTGTTTATATATTCTAACTTGTTAAACTTTTTTTTTTTAATTCTAATATATTCATTAAAAAAATATAATATCAATGTTGTGTTATACATTTTAGTATTACATTTTAGAGACAAGATTTTTGGTCGATAATAATAAGTATCAGTCTGACTCTCGTATAAAGCGTTGTTTACTGAACGAAATTAGAAACCTGCTTGTTATATGTAATTATATTGTCATATGTTTCGTAATCAGAAACCTGCTTGTTTTATGTAATTTAATTGTCATAAGTTTTGTAATTAGAAACCTGCTTGTCATATGTAATTATATTGGCATATGTTTTGTAATTGGAAACCTGCTTGTTATATGTAATTATATTGGCATATGTTTTGTAATTATAAACCTGCTTGTTTTATGTAATTATATTGGCATATGTTTTGTAATTAGAAACCTGCTTATTTTATGTAATTTTATTGTCATATGTTTTGTTATCAGAAACCTGCTTGTTTTATGTAATTATATTGTCATATCTTTTGTAATTAAAAACCTGCTTGTTTTATGTAATTATATTGTCATATGTTTTGTAATCAGAAACCTGCTTGTTATATGTAATTATATTGTCATATGTTTTGTAATTAGAAACCTGCTTGTTTTATGTAATTATATTGTCATATGTTTTGTAATCAGAAACCTGCTTGTTATATGTAATTATATTGTCATATGTTTTGTAATTAGAAACCTGCTTGTTTTATGTAATTATATTGTCATATCTTTTGTGATAAGAAACCTGCTTGTTATATGTAATTGTATTGTCATATCTTTTGTAATCAGAAACCTGCTTGTTTTATGTAATTATATTGTCATATCTTTTGTTATAAGAAACCTGCTTGTTATATGTAATTATATTGTCATATATTTTGTAATCAGAAACCTGCTTGTTTTATGTAATTATATTGTCATATCTTTTGTAATCAGAAACCTGCTTGTTATATGAAATTATATTGCCATATGTTTTGTAATTAGAAACCTGCTTGTTTTATGTAATTTTATTATCATATGTTTTGTAATCAGAAACCTGTTTGTTATATGTAATTATATTGTCATATCTTTTGTAATCAGAAACCTGCTTGTTTTATGAAATTATATTGTCATATCTTTTGTTATAAGAAACCTGCTTGTTATATGACAATATAATTACCTATAACAAGCAGGCTTCCAATTACAAAACATATGGCAATATAATTTCATATAACAAGCAGGTTTCCAACTACAAAACATATGACAATATAAGTCTGGCGAGTGCTGAGGTAGGAAACACATACTCAAATAAATGTATGCTTTCTTTAAATCATAATGAATTCAACTAAAGATCCAGGAAAACCGAAGTTTAACACAACCGTGATTCAAAATATTTACATGGATTTTTTTTAAAAGTACAACCTAAGTATGTAACGGAGAGCCCCGGCGCGGAGCTAGGTTAAAACAAGCAGGGTGTTAATTTCAAAGACATATGACAATATAATTACATAAAACAAGCAGGCTTCTGATTACAAAATATATGACAATATAATTACATAAAACAAGCAGGTGTCTAATTACAAAACATATGATAATATAATTACATATAACAAGCAGGTTTCCAACTACAAAACATATGACAATATGTTTTGTAATTGGAAGCCTGCTTGTTATAGGTAATTATATTGTCATATGTCTTTGTGATTAGCACCCTGCTTGTTTTAACCCAGCTCCGCGCCGGTGCTCTCCGTTACATACTTAGGTTGTACTTTTAAAAAAAAAATCCATGTAAATATTTTGAATCACGGTTGTGTTAAACTTCGGTTTTCCTGGATCTTTAGTTGAATTCATTATGATTTACAGTAAGCTTACATTTATTTGAGTATGTGTTTCCTACCTCAGCACTCGCCAGACTTATATTGTCATATGTTTCGTAATTGGAAACCTGCTTGCTATATGTAATGTTATTGTCATATGTTTTGTAGTTGGAAACCTGCTTGTTTTATGTAATTTTATTGTCATATGTTTTGTAATTGGAAACCTGCTTGTTATAGGTAATTATATTGTCATATGTCTTTGTAATTAACACCCTGCTTGTTTTAACCTAGCTCCGCGCCGGTGCTCTCCGTTACATACTTAGCTTGTACTTTTAAAAAAAAATCCATGTAAATATTTTGAATCACGGTTGTGTTACACTTCGGTTTTCCTGTATCTTTAGTTGAATTCATTATGATTTAAAGAAAGCTTACATTTATTTGAGTATGTGTTTCCTACCTCAGCACTCGCCAGACTAAGTGGCTCATTAACCAGTAAATATTGTAGATTATTAATGTTTAGAATAGAACGAGACTTAGAAATATAACCTTAATCTCCTAATGTATCGAAACAATTGGAACCAAATTGTATGTATTAATGTTCATGTGTGATAAGGATGTTATAAATCTAGATATCGGGAACCAGAAATGTGAATTCAACTACGGGGTTGATTTTTTTTTTAAATCAAGACCTGTCCACCCTTCTGGTATACATAGGCGGTTGTCTAGTAGTGCCCAAACAGAATACAGCATTATCATTTATTATAAGTTGGAAACGAATGTAACGCTATCGATATGCATGTTGACCACACTACGAAAAGTATGACATTTAAAGACAATGTGCAAGATAACCTCACACCAATTAAAAAGAATATTAAAATGTATTTCTATAGAAATCTGTTAAATGATCACTGACCAAAGATGCAAACTTGAATGTTGTAGATTCGAGACATAGCGGCGAGCTGTGGATCCGACTCTCTGAGGCTCGGTAAACAACACGTACTCCGTCGGGAGATGAGGTCCACACTGACAGTCAGTCTATTGGTGGGGTATTTCGCCTTCGCCTGGCTTCCACACTGTTTTTACCTTATATATAGCATTACCTGTCAGTGTCATATCAGCCCTTACATCAGGTAAGACATGTCAATGTGTGCTCAACTTCGACCTTACCTCGCAGTTTGATTCTGGAATAATTTCCAATTTGGTACTGCGTACAGTGCTATTTTTGCGACAGTGCATTTTCGGGTATGGGTGATACTTCCTTCTTAAATAAATCTCGAAACAGCAAATTCAATACTGCGCATTTTTTTTGTGTTCCAACATATTTTGTGTTCTGACCTGAGTTGGAGTAGTCACATCAACTCTACCGTAAATAAAGCCAATAAGACCCTAGGCTTTTTACGACGCAATATCTCCTCCTGCACAAAAAAAGGTAAAGGAACAGACTTACACCACCCTTGTCAGACCTACTATTGAGTATGCGTCGACTTGCTGGGACCCGTACACTGCAGATAATACTATGCTGCTAGAGTCAGTCCAACGTCGAGCTGCTCGATATGTACACAACGACTTCAGGTCTAAAGAGGCCGTCTGTGTGATAACCATGATCCAATCACTAAATTGGGAATCTTTAGCACAACGTACAGCAAAATCCAGACTAACCATGATGTACAAGATCGTAAACGGCCACATCGCTATTCCATCAGCCGAGTACCTTACTCAAGGGGACAGGAAAACAAGGGGGGCTCACAAATTTCATCAGATCACAACCGCATCAAATCAATACAAATATTCATTTTTCCCCCGTACCATCATCACCTGGAACTCTATACCCACAGACATCGCCCAATCGCCTGATCTAAATTCATTTTAATCAGCAATTGCAGGCTTCAACCTTTTTACTCTATACTAACTTCATGTATCCTTTTTGTAAATAGTTTTATCATATACGAAAAAAACATAAAAAATAAGTTTTTAACTGCCACCACTAGGAACCTCTCACAGTGACAATTGCACTCCATCAAGGAGATCTGTCACTTAATGGAAGATGATGATGATGATGATGATGGAGATATCTAAAAATAACACTACACAAAATTAACGCTGTATACAGTAGCGACTTCTCTAATAAATTTTATGGAATTAAAACGAGTGTAGCTACAATTTACCACAGGGACTTGAGAATTTTTTACAGCTATATTTGGACCTAAACTAAGGTGTTCATAGTAATTTTACATGTTTTAGGGGTTTAGATCGACTCTCGATAAAAATGACACCCCAATCATCACATATACGAGAGGGATGTGATCATTGGAGGTGTCATTTTTACCGAATGTCGATCTAAACCCCTAAAACATGTAAAATTACTATGAACACCTTAGTTTAGGTCCAAATATAGCTGTAACAAATTCTCATGTCTCTGTGCTATTTACCATACGACATGTGTCACAATCGAAAATGAATGAAGTAGAACGCGGGACTGGCGCCACTTTCTACATATAATCTGTGTATGTATAGTCTCGGGTAACTAACCAACATTGCATTGTAACCTATATTTAACTTATTTTGCATACAGAATTTAATTTTTTGCATACCCCAACATCTTTTAATAATCGGAATTAGAAAATCACATATCCAAAATAATTTCATTGTGACACACACACACCCTGTGTCCTAATATATGTGTGTTAATAGGTGTGTCATTCTTTATTAGTCAAAAGCCCTTGGGCTTATAGGTACATACATATATATAACATTCTCTAAACATAAATAAACAGGAGAACGTTCATTAATGTGCATATAGCAATACTTAATTAACGAATTACAGTTATGGAACACCACATGTGCTCGCTGTCAGTGTACACGTGTTATATATTCACTAGTTATACAACAGTGACATTCTTCTTTAAAATACAGACATTTCAGCCTCTAAGGACAGTTATTTCACACAACATATTCACGTTTAGTAAGTAAATGTTTTTTGTTGGTTTTGTTAAAAATGGCAGTTTATTAAACGTGACTATTTGGTTAGTACTGATGCTTACAACTTTGGTATGTTTATTTCGCAGACTTTCGTCACGGATTCTGGTATACACAAACAACGCCATCAATATTTTCATCTATGCCGGGCGTATCCATCTATTCCGGAAGTTCGCAGTGAAGGACATCAAACAATTGTGTTCTCACTGTTTCAAGATACAGTGAGATGTTTTAGCCGAAGTGTTTACTAGTTTAAAGAATGATGATATGGGAGATTTGAGCCAAAGAATGATAATGTATAGCATCCTGATACTCCAACACTTGGAAATCAATCAAAGGATATTGCCATCACTGTACAGGATACTAGCAAAGCATCAGTGTTCTTCCTGTCCTGCAGTACTGAATCTTTGTATCACCTCATTTAATGAGACCAACATGTAGACTATGACAACTGATGGGCGTTCTTTTTAGTTACTCAGTATATAGGGGGATTTTTATTGTAATCAGGCCAGCTTAGATAAACATGTAATTACAGAATTTATAAGTTTATAATACAGTAAAGACTAGTTCGTTTATATGAATATATATATGCATTATAATTGCAAGAAAATGCCTCCTTAATAATCTTTAATATGATATTGAAGAATGTTGAAATGTTTCTGTATTTGAATAAATTGATTTTAACCAAGGTACGATAAATTGTATTGTTTCTAAAATAACCAAACAACTCAGCTGTTCCAATTCACAGAGTGCTGAAACACTGAAGATGTTCACTTTTTCCGTTTTACTAGACCCCCCCCC